CTCTAAATGCCATTCTGTCTGATTGGAGGAAAACAGCTGGGAGTTGGCGTGTGCTAGCTCATATCTACCCTGACATGCTCTGGTAACACATCCAAGGGATGTGATGATGTGGTCTGGCAGCAGAGGCTACAGAGCAAGGCTGCTTAGCTCACTGCACGTGTAGTGACCAGGGTGGTTTTAGGGTGACACATGGTGAGTCTGAGGCAAAAAAAATGGATGCAATGACTCCACTTCATTCAGAGGTGAGTCCTCTAATCACAGCTGTACTGGGAAGCAGATGGGCAAAAGTATGAAATGTGGCTGCTGCAGCCTGAAATGCAAATGCAGTTCCAAGGAGAAGTGAGATTAGAGACCTGACTTAGATACATTTCCCAGGGTCTGAGAGTTGCTGAATGCGTATAGCTAAAGCTGCATGGCTAAAATCAGTGGGGAAGTGCAAAATAACTGAGATGGCAATAGGGTGTCACTGATCCAGCTCTCGTACAGCTCTGGAACAGTCCCTGGGCGGACCCCTTTAGTGCATCAGCCCCCTTAGGGTCACACTCTCACTGGGGTAAGCCCCTTGGCTTCACCACCTCCTGGGACTGAACCCTGGAGCATTCAGCACCTGTTCCATGCCATGAGCTTCCTGCAGCGGGTCCATGTGGATTGGACCCCGCAGGGAGATTTACACACCAGAGACTTGCACCCACAGTTTCCTGGAGTAACTCTCAGCCAGCACTGTAAAAGCAGAAGAGTTTATTAGGTGTCTGGAACACAGTGTAGAAAGTCCTTTGTTATCACAGAGAACAGAACGTTACAGCCTGGTCCATCTGGGTCAGTTCAGAGCCCAGAGCTGCTCTCTGATCCCTTCTTAATCTAGTCCAGAAGCTTCTCCTGCTTCCTGGAACCCACACTTAACCTGACCCCTCCTTTGTCCTTGTTCCCAGGCAAACACTGTCACCTGGCCCTCCTCCTAGCCCTTTGTTCTCCAGCTGGTCAAACCTGGCTGGCTTTCAGGGGTGGGTCATCCATGGTTGTTAGTTGCTTCATACCCAGTGTCTGGGTAGTTGTCTTCTGAGACTCTTCATGGCTTGGGGCCAGGACGCAGACAGCCAGACATCAGTCATACCTGGATCCCCCCCACGTAGTTAACCATGCAGCATGCAGGGGAAACTGAGACACATGCAATAGTTGTCCAAAATATTAAGAAAAATTCCTGCTCCATCATATCGGGTGCTATATTGTTCCTATGAGCTGTAGCCTAACTAATTTTTTGGTCCCAAAGACTACACAGTTAACCAGAAAACAGAAATGCTGTTGTTATCTTGACTCTTGCACAGTTGTCACCAAAAAGTGAAACCTTAAATATTATAGACTTGAAGGTCAGAAGGAATCATGGTGATCATCTAGTCTGACCACCTGCATGTTGCAGGCCACAGAACCTCACCCACTCCTGAAATAGACCCAGAATCTCTGGCTGAGTTACTGCATACTTCAAATCGAGGTTTGAAGACTTCCAAGTTACAGAGAATTCACCATTTACACTAGTTTAAACCTGCAAGTGACCCTTGCCCCAGGCTGTAGAGGAAGGTGAAAACCCTCAGGATCTCTGCCAATCTGACCCAGGGGAAAATTCCTTCCTGACCCCAAATATGGTGATCCATTAGACCCTCAGCATTTGGGCAGGACCTGCCAGGCAGATAACTGGGAAAGAATTCTCTACAGTAACTCAGAGCCCTCCCCATCTAGTGTCTCCAGCAGTTGAGGATTTTTACTACAAGCAGTGGCTGATGGGCCACACGCCATTGTAAGCAATTTCATCATACCATTCCCCTCCATAAATTTACCAAGTTCAGTCTTGAAGCCAGTTAGGTTTTTTGCTCCCACTGCTCCCCTTGGGAGGCTGTTCCAGAACTTTACTCCTCTGATGGTTAGAAACCTTCTCTTAATTTCTAGCCTAAACTTGTTGATGGCCAGTTTATCGCCACTTGTTCTTGTGTCCACATTGGCACTTAACTTAAATAGCTCCAGATTATTTTCCTTTTTAAAAGAAATAAGGGCTTCTCTAATAAATGTAGAAAATAAAAGCATAAGAGCCTTATAGCAACCTCAGAGGGATAAATCCTAGGTAGGGAGAGGAGTTACTGGGTTGCAGACCTTGTCCATTCCTTTAAAGTCTGTACATAATTCATGGTACACATATATGTAATTCATCTTCCATTCTCATGTTCAGTGTGGTCCTAAACTCTTAGGATAGTTTTCTACTGTATATGTTTTGGGATACGGTTTTCAATGGGTATAAATCAAAAGCTTTTCAAACCAAGTAGTCTCACTTTTTCAGTAAAAGCCCTATTGAAATAGTGATTAGAATTTCTAAGTGTTTAGGCACGTATTTTCACTCCTGTAAATGAAGGAACATTGTTCAAACTTTCCCAGCTCTCTCATTTTCAAAGATAACTTTGAAAATGGAAAACTTCAGCCAAAATCTCACAAGTGAAGTGTGTGTGAAAAGGGAACCTTGCTTTTTTAACCTTAACTATAGAGAGTGCCAGTGGCTCATGTTGCAAAGTTTGTTAAAGGAATTGGTTGTTATCGTAACACCCCATTACATATCCTTAAGGTGTGGTACTTACCAGATTGGCCAAATAGTAACTCTGAGGGTGTTTAATCATCAGTGCCATGTTGCAGTCTCTGCTGTGATTGTATTCATTGTTGTGCACATGAGAGAAATGGTGCATAAGAACTCCAGTGTGTTTCCCAGAAAGACCAGGTAACCCATGCATAATAAAATAGATTATTAAAACTTACATGTATGTGACTAGTGCTATGAAGCTTTGCTTCTTCATGTGTCAGAAGTGATGGAGATTGAGATCTGTCCAATTCTGATGAGTAAAAGTCTCTTGTGAACTACAATAAGGAAGCAATGCCTTACACTGTTTTGGCCCTCAGAACAGCCTCCTAGCCCTAAGATCTCTGCTGCCTTCAGGAGTGTGCTTGTATCTAAACTAATAAATGGCAGAGACTCCAGAACATATCTGCTATTAGGCATGCTAGATCTCTGTGCTCACTGATGCTTCATCTGGGTTTGCCTTTATTTTTTTCCTTCTGTTTGCAGACAAATCTGGGACATATGGGGGTTTTTCTCTTCTCCCGTGCCGTGCCATCCCCCTCCACCCCCCAACACTTCCTTATTTTAATTAACTTTGTGGACCATCCTTAAAAATACAGCCTTGGTTCACTTGCAATGTGGGGCTAGGCTTGCTGTCTGGTTTTACAAGATGTTGTGTAAGTGCCATTGGGTAATGACCAGCAATTCACAGCAGGGACAGCAAATTTCTGTGAGACCAGGCTAAATCCCACTAAGAGAAGTCCCACCCATCCAATTATTGGAAGTAGATGGGGGAGGCTCCTGCTTTTACCCCAGAGGGAAGTTTGTGTAACTTGTGGCTTGGTCTAAACATAAAAGTTGTATTGGTATAGCTACGTTGGTCAGGGCTGTGAAGAAACCATGCTCCTGGCTGATATAGCTATGGTGACCTAACCTCTCTATATCTGTAGCTGTGTTGAAGAGGGCTTCTGTGGACCTAAGGTCCTTTAGGAAGGTAGTGTTCCTACGGTGACAGAAAAACTCCCTCTGTCGGGGGAGGCTGCATGTGTGCCAGGGGCTATGGACTCCAAAGTGTGATGTGCCTTAATTGGGGAGGGGGGTTGAACCTTCTGACCTCTCCAGTACCACCCCGGTCTCATGCATACAGACCTTCAAATGGGTAATATTTGGGGGGGGATAAGGAGTGGGCTCAGCTAGCCATTAACTTGGTGGTGGTTTTAGCTAGCAAGCAGCTCTTCTCACCTCCTCCTAAAACCAACCTCTGCCACCCCCACTTCCATCCTGTCCTCTGGTCAATGAAAATTAACAGTGGTGTGATTGACTATGTGAGCGCAGCCAGAGCGTAACACACTGGGACGTGGGGTCTGCCAGAAGTGGCTAAAATCGAGCATCTGCCCAGGACAAGGCTCGGTTTGCTGCGGCTGATGCAAAGGCAGCCATTGGGATTCCTGTGAAGTCAGTAGTGAACAGTAAGCACAGCTCACGGGGTGGCTCTGGCCCCCCTGCTATCGCCCAAAGGATCAGCTCTCCTATGGCTTGCCCTTTAATGGACTCAACGCACTCCTTTCATAGTGGAGGCCATGGGCTTGTCCTCAAGAGTCTGTTCCAATTAGGCTGCCTAACGTGGTAAGAGGAGAAGGTAGCTAGCTCCCAGTGAGCAGCATGAACAAGACTAGAGTTGCAGAGCCAGGCCGACAGACTTTAAATTTCACATACCTTAATTATAAGTTCAGTTCCTGAGATGTTTCCTTGGTGGAGCATCACTGGAAGGGGAGGGGTGGAGGTGGCAGCAGTGACTGTAATCCAGAATGAAGTTGTAGTGGCAGTGCAGGGCCAGCAAGAGTTGCGAGTTTGACCCTGTATCCTGTAAACTGGTGGCAGCATTCTAGGCAACTGGGTGCCTTTAGATAGCATTTGGAATCCCACCCAAATTAGGTTGTCTTGTCCATTGGCTTTGGAAGAGCTTCACATAGGTTGCTGCTGTGTAGTTTCTATCTTCAGTTTAAAAGCAGCGGGGATTCTTGATGGGGTAACTAGAGGGCTAAAGGGGGAGGAAAGGCCAGTTATGGCACACAATTCACCTGTGGCTCATTGCCCACAGCAGCAAGCTCCTGCACATCACACCTCCTAGGAAACCGCCATGAATGCAGACTGTTCAAACAAACCTTGGCACTAGTACATGCCAGCAACTGGGGCAGTTAGCACTTATGGCTTTGGTCTCTGCATGTCTCAGAATCTCTTTGTAAAACTGGGACAATATCCCTCTGGGGTTAGTGCAGCTGTTTGCAAAACGCTTTGAAAGGTGCTGTTGCCAACAAACTCTTTAGGAGAGAACGAGGAGCTGAGATAGGAGAAATTGTTTTCATTCTAAATAGATCTGTACATCACTGACTCAGTTCATCTGTTACAGAAACACCACTCGGAGAACAAGGGCACTGATCAGATGGTGGAGACACAAGCCCAGGTTGATGAACTTAAAGGAATCATGGTCCGAAACATAGGTATTTATCACTTCACTTCCTGCTCTGCACACAGCGCACAACCCTGGGTCCCAGAGGAGCATCCCTTTCGGAGGCATTGCCAATAGTATTGTGCAGCTGATGCTTTATGGGAAGCTAAGGTTTACCTGACATCTTCTACAGTAGTAACCTGGTTGAACAACAGAGTCTGCTACAGTTGGCGAGTATTCCACACCACATACAGAAGTGCCCTGAGTTTGTAGAGGAATTTGTTTGCACTAAGATTTCACTATGAGTGGCAGATTGGGATTGAGGAGTGGTGTTCCAGACCAATGGTGGATGTGCTCCAAATTCCAAATGCTCAATCTCCATTCTGCATTGAAAACCATGTGGGCCTGAGTGCAGGATCAAAGCACTTTTATCACTCCTTTGCTGATGGATTTGAAGAGTCTTAAAGCTGGAAAGATTTGGAACTCCTTCTATTCTTGGAGAAGGCAATGGTTTATCCAAACTAAGGGTTTGTCTACACAGTGGGGTAGTGTGCTTTACAGGGTTGTGTTTTTTAAAATGCATTACTTGGTCTGTGTAGACCTTGCTGGTGTGCTTTGATCTAGTGTTGTTTGAAATGCATTGCATTAAAGCACAGTAGGGAACCTTTAGTGCGCACAAGCAGGGTCGACACAGGCCAGTTAATGTGCAGCATGTTAGTGTGCTTTAGAAATCACACTCCTCTGGAACACATTACCCCACCATGCAGACAGGCCCTAAAATCCATGTGGCTCCTTGTCATAGTCAGGTTGATTAAATAGCAACTCACCAGTTTCTGATGTAGGGCTCTTTTACACTAAAATATTTACTTCTGATCCAAACTATATAGCAGGTGTATAGAGTTATACAAGCGAGATGAAGCTAGTACTGTATTAATGCTTCCTTCAAAGCCTCAAGTAGCTTGTTAAATGACTAATCCGATGACTGTTTCCTTTTGAGGGCTTCGTTCTTAAACAGTGCCTGACAGTGTTTAGCCCACTGCAATGGAGTTCAAGAAAAACTTGCTTCCTCGCTTATGATAGAGGGCCACATCCTCAGCTGGTATAATTTGGTGAAACTCTAGGATCTGGCTCAGAAAGTGATTTGGGATTGCTTGGGACATGGAAATTTTGACCTTTCTCCTCCCTCCACCTCAAATACTGTACTCCAAGTAGCTTAGAGGGGGTGTGCACAACGCTTAAATGTCTAGCATTAAATGTGAGCTTTTTATTGGTAAATGTCTATTTCACTGTACACATACCCAAACCAAGGAAAAAATATTCCCATTGACATTACTCAAAACTTAAATAAAATAAGAAAAATGCTGCTTGAGAACTTAGTTTGGTTTAAGGATATTTATTTTGTACATCCTGACATATGTTGACAATTTGTGTTAAGTTATAAAGCTTCTTAATTCTCAACGTCTACTGTCACAGGGGCAGGAGGGGCGGTTCAGACAATTATGTGATGTCCTGGAGCTGTGAAAATTTAAATTGATAAAAATAGAAAAAAGCTTTAAAATAAATGATTTGTTGAAATTATAAAAATAATTGAATTCTGCCAATCCTAGTTGTATTAGAGATGTTTCCTGGCCTTGAAGTAGCAAGAGACTTGGATAAGGAAAGTGCTTTTGCACCTGGATTCTGACAGCTGATTTGTTCTTCCTCCCTAAGACCTGGTGGCTCAAAGAGGAGAGAAGCTGGAGCTGCTGATAGACAAAACTGAGAATCTAGTGGATTCAGTAAGTACAGAGAAGCATAAGGGGGAGCGGGGGGGCGGAGGTGGTGTGTACTGTATGCAGTAACCAGACATGCTGGTACCATATTAGTTATGAGGAAAAGCTGATATTATCCAGTGTGCAATGGGTGCAGGTGGAGCAAAGAGCAGGCCCTAGAGCTGTACATCGTGCAAATATTGGGGCTTCTAGACTCTAAGCCCTTGTGTTTGTATTGTGACTGGCATGTCGTGTGTACAAGACACATGACTTTCTTTCAGTCCCCCTCTAGGCCTTACCTAGGCAACTTGGTTTCCAACAACAAGGCTGTATTTTGCTTGTGGCATAGCTAATTGTGCCCTCATTCCTTACTGCACTATGTCTTCTGTTATTTGCCTCCAAGGCATAGCAGTGCATGAGATGAGTGGGTAGAAACTGGATACCAGGCATGTAGACTTGTCTAAACTCTGTTCCCATTGGAGTAATGCCTGATTCCTACCTCCCTGGTGCTAGTTCAGTTAGGTGCTCCTGCTGCTGCATCCTTCTCTGATAAGGAACCTTCCTGTATAAGTTGCACTCTTCCCCTTTCTTCCTGCCTGTGCACACAAGCCCTAGATGCCCACATGCCCTTCCTTCCTGCTTTCCAGTATGTAAGGGGAAGCCTACGGTCTGGGTTTTCTTCATATTTTGGTTCCATGATATCTATGTTCTTCATTATAGAAACCTTAATTATGAAAACTCTCAGATCAATTGACTTCAGGCTAATTATGTGGAAGCCTTCTGGCCTATAATAGGGCTGCTCACCTGGGCTCATGAACTAAGTGGGGGTTGTCTTTCTCTCATAGTCTGTCACATTCAAAACTACCAGCAGGAACCTGGCCAGAGCCATGTGTATGAAGAACCTCAAGCTTACCATCATCATCACAGTAGTATCGATTGTAAGTTACTGGCCTTTATCCTCTGTCGTCTAAGGGTGTAACGCACGTGCTCCTTTCTAAAGTGAGGCCTGGATGTTAGAAAATGTCATCCATGTCTCTTCACGGTAGTCCCCAAATAACCAGTGTCTCCAAGAAGGAACCCATTTACCACCATCACTATAAGGTTCTCTTCCCAAGGCTAGAAACCAACATTTCACTACCCTTTTTACGCTAGAGCTGTTTGGGAATTTTTCATCAATGATTTCCCAACAAAAAATGCCCTTTTCCCAAAAATATCTTATGCAGAAAATTCATTTTGCCAAAAAATTCTGTTTTTCCATCAAGAAAATTGAAGTGATGATTCCCTGGCTGGCTGCCCACCTGGAAAACTCTTGTCGATTACATTTTCTACCTGCTAGTTCTAGGGCCCAGGAGTTAGGAGGCCAGCTCCTGGGGAGGGAAAGACTTCCTTCAGGCAGGAAGCCAGACATTTCGTTTTGGTTCTCTCAAAATGAAATTCTCTCAATCCATTCCCACAAAAAAAGTTTCATTTTGACTTGTTCCATCCCACATATGAAGGACCTTTTTCAAAAATGGGAAATTTTTTATAGGAAGGGATTTCTCTTTTCCAGCCATTTCTAGCCCTGCCCATAACGGTGTGCAGGGGTGATATCCTCTATCTTAATGTATCAGATGAGGACAGAAAGTGTAGCATTCCAGAGGGTGTCCCATCGCCATTCTCTCTAGTTGTATATAGCCCTGTAAGGGAGGGCAGGGACATAGCTGTCTTGTTGACTCTTAAAATCTGAAGCACTGGGTTCACAGTATCTGGGCCCAGTGGAGACTTAAGTTTTAAGGAGTGCCTGTGCCCCCGTTGCTGACTCTTACTTGAAATGGTGTTATGCCTGAGTCATGGCCTCTCCTCCTCCTCCTCAGGTATTTACCCTCAAATGTTCTTGCTCTTAACATCTTTCATCTGAGGACCTCAAGGCATAATTGCAGGTGACATAAGGAGAGCTTTGCACCTGATGGAGCCTTGCATCACTCTGCAGGGACAATAGTGTTATCCCAGTGTTGCAGTTGGGGAAACTGAGGCAGATTTTCCCCAAGTCGTTGAATGCCGAAGGAGAAGTTGGTGGCAGAGACAGGAATAGTACCCTTGTCTGGGTTTTCAAACCTTGTTCTAAGTACTTGACTGCTACATGCTGAGTGATAGGAAAGATTCTCTATCCATGTGACAGTGCTTTCTTCCTCCAGGTGGTCATCTACATCATTGTGTCAGCTGCCTGCGGGGGGCTTACATGGCCCAGCTGTGTGCAGAAGTAAACAGATGGCCTGTGCTGATCAGCCAAGGATGAGAGCACATGAGTGTGTGCGAAGGAGCAACCCACAAAATAACTTGTCTTTCACTACTGACACATCATTCTTCCATCCTTCCAGGACTTCATACTTCTCTTTGCCTTATCACCTCCAGTGGCCCCAAGTCACTGCCTCAGTGCAGTTTCAGCCTCAACGAAGAGCTGTTTTAAAACAACTTGAAGGGATTTTGTTTTTGTTCTTTTGTCTTAACTGCAGCTTCTCAGCTGGGCAGGCAGTGAGGCTGGCTCCAGAGGGTATGTGCATGCTTCTCTGTGTGTGTATGTACAGCTTTGCACTTTAATGGAAGTGTGCTAAGCAGAGAACAGCATTGCTAGTGCCTCCATCTCTGCATGAGGAGTGGGGCTGGAGAGCTCAAGATGGGTCAATGAAGGTAGGCAGAGTGATGAAAGTCCATTTTGCTGCCACTATATTGGGATCTAATTAACATCTCCTCCCTACATGTTTGGTCCACAAAGTGATGCATTATGTAGGGTTCAATGCTTACTTGTTCAGGGGCCACTAATGCAAACATGGGTTGAGGTCACAAATAGAATGGCACAGTAGATGTTAAGATCCCTCAAAGGCATAGGCCCCTCCTGGAGACACATCTCCCTCTTCAATAATGAACCCTTTTCTCCTTTGGGGAATCTCTTTGGACAGCTGTACAGATGGGGGGGATTGAGTGGGCATGTTGAAATGACTCCTCTTTCACCCCATCTTCTGCTCAGCTCCCCTACTTTGTGACTAAGTTAATAGAGTAAAGATGATGATTGTGATAAACTTGGCTGCTGTTTGTCATTGTGTTTTAAGTATCGCTTCTGTCCTGTATGTTTAATCGTCCCCCACTCAAAATAAACTTACAGCAAGTGCTTATTACTCAAGATGGAGGAGATGGAATTGGGGTGACGCCTCTTCTCTAGTTTTCAAAGAGGATATGTGTTCTGAGTTCTATGAGGTGCCATGTACTTGCATTTCCATCCTGGTCAGATCCTTCCACGTTAAAGAAACAAACCACTGAAAACAGGTAACTGATGGTTCCTTCCCAGTTCTAAGTCTCACCTTGTGCTGGTCTGAAGGGAAACTCTTATCCAGATATGTATTCTAGATTCTTATCTGTGGTACAAAACACCAACATTAACAACCAAAGGCAGGGGTCCTTGACAAATATACTGCTGTGAGAACCTCACAGGGCCAAAAACAGCCCCACAGAACCTTGTCCAGTGTCTGATGATAGGACAAAAGGTTTATAATCAAAGCTATCTGGATGTCCTTATCTAAGGGTAGCCCTGTATAATTCATCAATAGCGAAATGGGGGTGGCACTGTCCAGTTATATACAGTGCAGATTTGTAAAATAGTGGCTTGAGGTCTGACCTAGGCAGTGTGTAAAAGGCTTGCTCAACTGTTCAATATTTTTTTTGAAAGAGCTGTTTCCTGTGGAGGGGATGGAGACAAAAGCAAATCCTCTGATAAATGAGAAATATGAGGTGGCTTAACACAAATATCAAACTCCTGGGCCCTAGAGTTTCCTACTGCTCAGTCACTGAGAAACTAACTCAACCTCCACCTTCTTAATAATAGATGTGTGGGAGGAAGGGAGAGAGGCTTAATCCTAGTGCTTATTGCAGTGCCCTTAATCAGATGTGATGTACAGAACATCTTTTGCACGCTGGCCTTGAGGAGTTTATCCGAGGCCATTTAGTACTGGGTCCCCGTGAAACGGCACTGAAAACCAAATTGCCACCCCATCACATCCTTTGTACTGCTGCATGTTACACACTGATCTCTCAGTGGGTTCCATTCTGTAACAGTGCTCTAAATTAACATCCATGCATCCTCAGTAGGTCAAAATCTGACCCATGATAGTTGGAAATTGGTAAGTAGTGTCTTCCTGCCATGCAAATAAACATTTGTGAGCCTGTTCAGTCCAACTGGAGATACAAATGAACTTATCACTAAGAATAGAAGCAGTGCTGAGTTTATTGGAAACCCTCAATTGGTGAAATACTCATGGCTCATCTGGGAAGTGCAGGAGATAGGTCATCTCCTTCAAGCATGCACTACTGCCCACAATGAGTGTGCAACTGTGCATGTTTTAAGGATTGATAATGTTACTGTTAACTTCCTATGATTTGTCTGTTTATGTACAAACACTTTTTATATAAATGATTTCCTTGTTTTAAAGAATGCAGTGAGGCATTACTGTAAAACAAAATTAACCTGTTTGAATAAATTTACTGTATGTCAAATGACCAGACTTTGTGAAGTTTTGTGAGGGGGAGCTTGGCATTAAATGGCTGCTCCCAACTCATGGTGGAGGAGCACCACTAATCTTAAACTCAGCAGTGTTCTGAAAAGTTATTCTTTAAGACGCTGCGTAACCTAACTTGGTGTGCTTCTGAAATAGGCCAAATTACTAAAAGATACTTTAAATACATCAGCAGTAGTGCTGCCTGTCCTGATTAGACTAATTTAGTTTCTCCTGAGCAGCAAGAAAACTAGTCACTACCCCTGTGTAGACCCTTGCTGATAAAGCATATTTCCAAATCCTCCACATGGGGAAGAGTTTGGTACATACTTAAATCAAGTAGAAAAACAGCTTCAAGAAAGCAGATTAAAACAAATCTGGACCATCTTTTTCTGTTTGTACAGCACCTAGCATAAGGGCTATAATCAGGGTTGTCTATCTGCTTCTGCAATGCACTTTTGTGTAGCCATCCTCAGCATGACAGATGTTGCCCTCAGGAGCTAGACTGGAATAAGCTGTCAGAAGTGAATTTTGTGGAGAACTCAGTAAAAAGCATGCAGAGATTCTTAATATGACTCTAAACCAACCATCCCCTTTTCATGTGCAAGAAGAAAGAGAAGAGACTTAGTCCTTTCTGCTCAATCCCACAGCAAGACACTTCTTGCAGGTGGGAATACAGCTCAAATCTTCAAGTAGAAGTATTCACCAGAGAAAGAAGGAACTGTTGTCAGATTATTCACTGCTTTGCACCTTAGTCATTTAACTCTGATGAAATGAGAACCATTGTTACACACACTCTGTACAGGTAATAAATAGCTAGATAGTGTAAGGTACCAGAGAATTGGGTCTTGCATATTGGTTGAAAGACATGTTGTCCTTAATGTTGGGAAACTGCATTATGTATCTTGTCTGAACTCTACAGTGAACTTTATTTTGCAGGCTACTCCAATTAAAATGCTAACTCTAGTCCAGGTTGATAAAGTATAGTGTTTTCCTACACATTAAATGTAGCAAATATTGTTAATGGGCTGTTCTAAGTCCAAAACAAAGCCTGTTTACTAGAAAATACATGATTTTTCCCATGCTTAATGCTTGGCTTGATATGAAATGCAAAAATGTCTGTGAGCTATCCCCTTTCATCTTCAAAACATCCTTTGTATAAAACATTCTATTTAATGTAACTGATTTAAGCTAAATATCTTGCATGGCCTTCTAGTAGTGGTACCGCTGATTCAGGCAGCTAAAAGAATGCTGCAATAATTGCTTACTGTGGAACTTGCTCTGCAGAAAGAATGTTAAACTGAGTTTTAAATACCTCATTTTTCCTTATCTGAAATTCATATTTAAGATATGAACCATTTGGGCTACCACTTAAGATTCCATCAGGAATCCACAACAGATTCAGAACAATTAAGTCACTGAAAAATCAAGTTTAGAATTTACACTTTAAAGGGTGCTTACATTTAAAATGTCCCAAAAAGCCTGTGGGACTCCAGCTCCAAAGGAAAATCCAAGTGCCAACTCTGAAAGCACTGGCTAAACTGACTTTATGTGTGTGTAGCAGGCACTCAATATTTTCTACATGCCTGTACCACCTGTGATTCAACATAGCTAATGCTACCGTTCTCTGGGTACGTTAAAATATCTTGTTTACTACAGTTTACCTTTACGAAGCACCTGCTCAGAGGGAAAGTGTGTGGAACAGTTAGCTAAAAGAAAGTAGTAAAAAAAGCAGCAGCCAGGATTTAAACTCCTCTGCTAGTTTTTTTTAAATGCAGTGTGCAGCCTTCATCCTAATCTAAGTTTTCTAGCCCAGTTTAATTTTGGTATAGCTAGGCAAGAAGCCTCAATCTCAATGACTAAATACTGATAAGGAACTGTAATATATCTAGTCCTTCCCCAGTGACTGAGCTAGCATGGGGAGAAGGAGCTAGTCATCAGCTGTCAGTCAATAAGTACTCAAAGCCAAGTCAGCATTATTCCTTAAACCTCATCTTCAAAATGTTTTCTGACATTAGCTAATGAAACAAAAATAATAGACATGGCAGTTTGATAGTTTACCTTGCCCTGCTAACCTTAAAACAACTGCCTTCAAGAGGAGTAACCATGTGAAAACTACCTTACCACTAGGTAACAGGTGGAAAGACAACACTTAGGAAAGAGACATCCAATCGGAGGTACCTCTTTAAATCTGAACAATTGTGCTCTGAAGCTGGAGTCCTGGAGCAGCTGCCTTAAACAGTGAGCTGCAACCAATACCAAGGATTGCTCATCTTTCATTTTCTACCCTTCTACGTCCCCCTCCACAGCTGAGGGCACACCAAACAGGCGTAAATGAAGATATTATCAGGTATAGTACAACTAAATTTAGTGTGAGCTTGTGAGAGAAGTATTTCATGATATTGAAGGAGATTAGATTTAATTCCAGCCAGTCCAAGTAGTGTTTGGTGTTTTTCTACAGATTTAGACAGCCCACTTTAAAATGTCCAGTGTTTAAAAGTTCTCTAACCAAACAAAACTAGCTTCAGAAACTGAGGGTTGGGTCAGTCCCCGAAGTATTTTGAACTAGTCCTTCAAAGCTTTGCAAGTATAAGTTCTCTCCAACTGCTGTTTATTAAAATCTCATTTCTAGTGCTTCTGTTAAACTAATCTACCAATTCATACCTCCATCTGCTGATGTTGTATGGACAGTCTTGTCCCTTCTTTAACAACAGTACTTGTAGAATCATAGAATATCAGGGTTGGAAGGGACCTCAGGAGGTCATCTAGTCGAACCCCCTGCTCAAAGCAGGACCAATCCCCAATTAAATCATTCCAGCCAGGGCTTTGTCAAGCCTGAGCTTAAACTTCTAAGGAAGGAGATTCCACCACCTCCCTAGGTAATGCATTCTAGTGTTTCACCACCCTCCTAGTGAAAAAGATTTTCCTAATAACCAACCTAAATCTCCCCCACTGCAACTTGAGACCATTACTCCTTGTTCTGTCATCTGCTACCACTGAGAACAGTCTAGATCCATCCTCTTTGGAACCCCCTTTCAGGTAGTTGAAAGCAGCTATCAAGTCCCCCCTCATTCTTCTCTTCCATAGACTAAACATCCCCAGTTCCCTCAGCCTCTTCTCATAAGTCGTGTTCCAGTCCCCTAATCATTTTTGTTACCCTCCGCTTGACTCTCTCCAATTTTTCCACATCCTTCTTGTAGTGTGGGGCCCAAAACTGGACACAGTACTCCAGATGAGGCCTCACCAGTGTCGAATAGAGGGGAATGATCACATCCCTCGAGCTGCTGGCAATGCCCCTACTTATATATCCCAAAATACCATTAGCCTTCTTGGCAACAAGGGCACACTGTTGACTCATATCCAGCTTTTCATCCACTGTAACCCCTAGGTCCTTTTCTGCAGAACTGCTGCCGAGCCATTCGGTCCCTAGTCTGTAGCAGTGCATTGGATTCTTCTGTCCTAAGTGCAGGACTCTGCACTTGTCCTTGTTGAACTTCATCAGATTTTTTTTGGCCCAATCCTCCAATTTGTCTAGGTCCCTCTGTATCCTATCCCTACCCTCCAGCATATCTACCTCTCCTCCCATCCTCCAGATCATTTATGAAGATATTGAACAAAACCGGCCTCAGGACCG